CTTGTATCTTGTTGGGATTTGGTTTTATACCCTCAGTTGTGATTATGTGACCGAGAAATTCAGTTTCTTTTCTCATAAACTCGCATTTATCCAACTGTAGTTTTAAGTTAGCTTCTCTAAGCTTCTTAAATACCTTTTGTAGCGACAAAATGTGTTCCTCCAATGAAGTGGAAAAAATAATAATGTCGTCTAAGTAGACCAGACAATCCTTAAAAATTAAATCTTCTAAGAGATTGTTCATACAACGTTGGAACGTTGCAGGTGCATTCTTAAGACCAAATGGCATGCGAGTGTACTCGTAATGGCCATGTTTAGTCGAAAATGCGGTCTTGGGTATTGAACCAGGATCCATTTGGATTTGGTGGAAGCCTTTGGCTAGATCAATGGTTGTGAAATATTGACATTTTCCAAGTTTGTCTAATATTTCATCCATGATCGGGATAGGGTATTTATCATTAATAGTTAGTTCATTGAGATTGCGGTAATCTATGACTAACCGGAACTTTTGCTTTCCAGATGCATCGTTTTTCTTTGGAACGATTATTACTGGTGAGCAGTAAGGGGATTTGGATTTACGTATGATATTTTGTTTTATCATATCGCTTATTTGTTTATTTACTTCCTCATCGTATATTTGAGGATATTTGTATGGACGCTTGTAAATTGGGTCCTCATGTTTTGTTAGAATTTTGTGTTTAATTGTACTAGTGAAAGTCAAATTGTCACCTTCATGGTACTGGATATCACGAAATTCATGTAAAACTTTTTTTATTTTTTCTTTTTCTTCTGAGTTTAGGTGCTCTAGCCTAAACTCATTGTTTTCTATTAATTCATTATTAATAGCGAAGTTAAATGGTCTGTCCTCTGTTGAGGGTGGATCAAGGCACTCTTGTGCGGTCATGTCCTCTTCGACCTCTTCGTCGTTATATCTAAAACAAAAGTTAAATTCTCCTAAGGTTACGGATCCTTGTGCATAGTCTATTTTTGCTTGACATGCCTCAAGGTATTCTCTCCCAATCAGAACATCATAATGCTCTGAGAAGTCGTGAATATAGAATTTTTGTTTGCTCGGACAAATTTTGCTTGCTCCTAATCGTATACTTTGTTTTAATTCAATAACACCATTTATGGTGTGAACCTTTAATGTTTCGTTGTAAACTGGAAAATTTAAGCGGTTTGTTTTCATTAGATTTATGGTTGAACCTGTGTCGATGACACATTTTAGAACTTCGTCATTCATAATCAATTTTATGAATGGATTTCTTCTGTTTGTTCCGAGGCTTGCTGATGAAAATTTTCGGATGTATCCATTTTCATCTGCCCACTGTTACTATCTCTTTGACGTTTAGTCGGAGGGTTTGGTGCATTCAAGCGTGAATGGGACTGATTTTGGTAGTTTAAGGGATTTTGGTATCTACCTTGACTTAATTTCTGTTGGAACTCGTGGTGAGCTTTCTGATTGTCTTCGGACTTATTATGCTGTTTATTTTGTGCGTGATAACTCTGATTCGTGTTGGAATAGCCACTTGAAATGGTGGTTGGGTTAGCATTTTGCTGATAATTTCCCATGTTCCTACGATTGTTATTTGGATTTCCCTGAACATTATTATTTTTAGGTTTTTCAGTAACACTATTTTCATATAATCCCTCTCTTTGAGCTACTTGCTTTAGTTTTTGTGTCGACGTAATGTCGTGTCTGGCTAACATCATGAAAAGCCTATCTGGTAATTTTTTTGTAATAACATCTTTGATTGTGTTATTCATAGCATTTGTATAAAGGGTTGTATTGCTAGGTATATTTTCTAGTGCTAACTTATTTAATATAACAAAAGATTTATTCTCGAGCTCCTCGATGAACTTACGGACGTTTCCTTGGTAATTCGTGTTGTATAAGCGTCGAAGGAGTTCTTCAAATGGTGTCTGCACTTTGTATTCTTCAATTAATGCGTTTCTCAGCTCCTGCCAAGTGTTGGCTGCTGTCCTTTGTGATATTCTCTGAGCATCTCCTGTGACTTGCAATTCGATGGCTCCGTATAAGATGCTATGTTGTCTAACATCTCGGGTTGGATACAGGTGTAGGATGTAATCTATCCTTTTAATGAAGGCGTTTAGTTGATCCGTTGATCCGTCAAAGCTTGGCACCTGTCTAAGTTGTGAAAGGGCCTGGTTGAGGTGTTGTTCTGATAATTCCATTGTCATCTTGGTGTAATACACTTTTTTTTGAATAGTTTTGAGTTTGTAGGTTTGAACTTTATTGTTCTTTGATTTTGCACTTTTATTTTAGGTTAAAGTTTGTGATGGATTATTGGTTAAATGTTTTTTTTTTTTTGTGTGTGTGTCTTAAAAAGACTCAGTAATAACGTATTGCAGGGATCAAACGATATGCAAAGCCAGTCGTTATTAACTGTAGTAGCTTTATTGCCCAAAGGGTCAATATTATTAAGCTACTAGTGACCCGAAGGTTCTTGTGCGGATACGTATTCGAGAAAATTTTTATTACACTCCGACAACACTTTCGGTCGCGATTGTGCGTTAGATCTGGGAATTAATTATCCTTTAGCGATCTTTAATTTTTCCCGACGTATCCTACCGGCTGCGCCAATTAAGTTTTACACGTTAGGTTACTATAAAAAAATATATTTCAATTTATTATTTTCACTTAACGGCTACTTTTGTTGAGTACATTCAGATTTGCTTCCCGAATAAGAACTGATTTATCTAACTGTTGCGGTCGCTTAGCAAACTTCGCTTTGAGAGAGTTTGAGTCAAAATTGAGTGAAGTTTGAGCTGCGTCAGCAATTATGCGTGGGATAGTACTCTGATGGGAACATTGACAGTGGCGTGATATTTAGGGTGAATTGTTTATGTCTACCAAAGGGGGACAGTTTGATCTTGACCAATGTCGATGTTATCACCAGGCTCTTTGTTTACAATATTAGAAATGTTTATAGTTGTGCTTATGCTTATGTGCTAAGTTATGTTAAAGGGTGGGTGCGACTATGGATATGTCACTATATATATATTAAGTTGTCATTTTATTTTTAATAGAAATAGAAATTGATTTGGGTAATTGCAATTTTCTTTAGTATTTTTAATTAATTAAATTAAATTTAATCGGTTTTCTTTCACACATGAATTCAGTTGAAAAACTGCCTAAAAGCACAAACAAGGGTCAACAGGGCAATAACCCAATATATTCAAACATGTCACAATGAAAATAAATAATTTAATTTACCACAACTTAAGCAATAGCAATGTTTTTTTTAAATATATTTAAATTTAAGTAAGAACATTTTCATCGAGATACACAAACCGACTCAAGCAAAACTTGTTAACTTTTTGTATGCCTGTGCAGGGTATCTTAAAGTACATATTTGTTGTCTAGTTTTTGTTTTTTTGAGTCTTTTTTTCTACAACTGCAGACAGACAGCAGTTTTAATTGCTTTTGCATACAGCAATACATCAAGATGCTGGCACACACGAGCCGGCATGGATGTCATTATGGGCAGCTCTTTAGTTGCAGCCAAATGCAAATTTACATAATAAATATATATATATATATATATATACATATATATATTTAGTTTTATATAGTGCAAATGTGTGCGCCAGCCGACTGACTTGCACTATTTTTAGTATTTGCCCAAGTCTGCGGTAAATTCATTAATGCATTTTGCATACTAAATGCAAAAGTTTACCGAGAAACCTGTCAAAACTATAAACATAAACATGTTTAGTCACTGGCGCTGCACAGTAATATATGCATAAATTCTCTCTGTGTATGTGTGTATATATGTGTGTGTGTGTCTGTGGCCTTGCCACCTTGGCCACACCCACTCACCCGGTTAAAATAGCTGCTCCATAGAAAAATATTTATCGCCTAAAATTATTGTTCACAATTTTCGCTAGAGGTCATGATTTTAATAAAAATTTTTTTGGCTTAACTTATAACAATTAAAAAGAAATTATGGACAACAAAACAAGGTTAAGACAAAGAAAAATAAAATGGACAAAAACATTTTATATCAAATTTATATTTGTATTCCAATGATGTCAGCTTAAATATAATAAATAATTTAAAAATATATATAGATTACTTAACAATAAACAAGTTTACGAATGCCATAAAATAAAAATAATTACAAGTATTTAAAATAAACTAAATTGTATGTAAGCAAAAGCTGTCAAAAACTTTCAAGACACTTGTAAAATAAATATTTGAAAATTGTGTTATAGAATATTACGTATACGCAGCGAGACCCAAAGGGAAAGCTTGCTAAAGACAAACTCATAGCAAAATTGAAAAATGTCGCCTGCGAAATAGAATTAAGAGAGAGCTTTTTTATAGTTATTTCGGAGAGGACCTAAAGAGCACAACTTTATTTATTTTCTGTTGAATGTGCCCTTTTATTTATAAGCACACTGTTCTGGTTCGATTGTTGCGCAGCATGCATTTCCGTTTGCAGGGGAACGCAGACATGCAATGCATTTAGCAACAGGTTGTATACAAAAGATACAAATTATTTTTCCTTCTTTGTGATTTTGTAAACAAACGATTTGATTCGATTGGATAATGCGATTTTCAATACCATTGCTGGCAGCCAAATGGTCCAATACGATTCCCAATTGCTCTGAGCTCACGCTATTCCAATTCTATTCTTGTCTTGCATGCACCTTAACGTGAAATCTATTTTGTAGTCTATTAACCTTAACCTTACAGCTGCGCACGAGAATGATGCGATAATTACGTTACTTATATACCAAAAAAAAAAAAAACAACAACAAAAAAAAAAAAAAGAGAAAAGCGCAGTGTGTTAAACCTCCCAAAAACAGCCCCCAACCAAAGCAATTTTAGCACGACCTTGCCAAAGAACACTAAAAATATATATGTACCATTAATTGTGCTGCAATCCAAAATGAAAATACCAAGTCTAATGTCAACCTTTGAAGGAAGTTGATTTGCAGTAAATTATATCTAATCTTTGCACATCGTTCATCAGATAAACAGCAATGCCGCAAATGCGCCAAGGCTTTGCAAGAATTGGAGAATATCGACGATGAGGCCGATCAATTGGGCATCGGTTTTGTCAAAATACACGACGAGGCATTGGCCGATGAATACAACCTAGGCAATCTGCCGGCATTGGTCTACTATCGCCATCAGACTCCGATCATCTATGAAGGTACAGCATGCCAAAACCCCTCTTCACAGTCCTCACACACGAAACACATTTAAAAACTCATACAAAAAAGACAAACACTTTATTATCGAACCGTGTCTGTGCCGCAGGTGAGCTGCAGCGTGAGGAGGATGTCTTGGAGTGGTTGGTGCAAAATAAATCGACCGGCGATGAGGACGATGTTATCGAGGATGTCACCACCAAGACGTTATCGACGCTTATAAGCAATATCGATAATTTGGTTGTGCTGTTCTGTATGTATATTCGAATCGATAATTATCGATGGCACAACCTTTCCAATCTCACATCACCTCAACAGATGATCATGGCAATGATGATTCGATGACCGTATTGGAAGAGCTAGAACAAATCGACGATGACTGCGATAAGCATGGCATACAGTTTGTGAAAATCGACGATGCCAAGGCGGCAGCCGATTACGGAATCGATTCGGTACGGGCCATCAAATAGAAAAAATAATATAAACTCAAACACAATAATGATGACTTGTAGATTCCGGCAATTGTATACTTTGAAAAAGAAATTCCAAACGTTTACGATGGCGATCTCATGGATGAGGAACAGATACTGAAATGGTTGTTGGGACAGTTGGAACGTGATGAAATCGAGGATGTCACCGATGAAATGCTCGATACAATGATTAAAGAAGGACGCGTAATTGCAGTGCTGTTCTGTAAATATGAAATATGAAATAATATTTACCTACCACACGACTAGGCGCATTTTGCTCATCTGTTGTTTTGCAGACGACAACAACGACAAGAAATCCCAAAAGGTGCTCGAAGAACTTGAGAACATTGACGACGAATGCGACGCATTGGGCATTACTTTCGTGAAAATCGATAATCCCGAGGAGGCCGTTGAATATGGCATCAATAAAGTTCCTAAACTGATATACTTTGAAAAAGGCATTCCAACTATATACGAAGGCAATCTGGAGGATGAGGAGAAGCTATTAAAATGGCTCGAAGAACAAACTAGTTCCGATCAAATTGAAGACATTACCGATGAAATGTTGGATTTGATCATTGAGAAAATGCCCCACGTTGCTGTGCTCTTCTGTAAGTGATTTCTGGGCCACAAAACCCAAAACTTCCTCCAAAAAAAAAAAAAAAAAAAAAACAAAAAATGTTCCTGACATATTTAAATCAACTGTAGATAATGTATAGATCGTCTATATAGACTATATATAAATATTATATGTTGTATTTGTAATATCGGGGTGTGTCTGAGTGTCTGGCGTTTAATCGTGCTCGATGTGCTTATAAATTAATTAATTTTAAAAGCGCTTCAACTAATCCATAAAACTAAAACGGATAATCCTAATTGATTTCAGGATCAAACACAATGTCGGGTAGTTATATATATATAATATCTAAATCGTTTCGTAGTATGAAACTAGTTGCAAGTTGAGAGCTTTTCAGTAGTCAGGGTCTTAAAAGCTTTAGAAGGCCTGTATTGCGTTTTTCCTTTTTCGATCGATAACATTACAGACCGTGAATAATCGATAACAATCTTTAACAGATGACAAAGATCAAAAGAAATCACAGAAAGTTCTCGCTGAACTGGAAAACATTGACGATGAGTGCGATCAGAACGATATCGCTTTCGTGAAAATCGATGACGATAAGGAAGCCAAAGAATGGGGTATCGATGAAATACCCTCGATTGTGCTCTTCGAACGTGGTATTCCGCACATCTACGAGGGTGATCTTATGAAAGAAGACGAGCTGCTTGGCTGGCTGGTGCATCAGAAGCGTTATTCCGAAATTCCCGAGGTTACCGACGAAATGAAGGACAAATTGGTCGAGAACACCGAGCATTTGGCGGTCATATTCTGTAAGCCAACCAAATGCTTATCGATAACATATCGTTAAACGTTAAGCCTGTTTCCAGATGACAAGGAAGACAAACAGGACATGCGCATCCTAAACGAACTGGAGAACATTGACGATGAGCTCGAAAAGGAGGGCATTGTCATTGTGCGCATCGATAATGCCGCCGAGGCCAAGGAATACGGTCTCGATCATTTGCCCGCGCTAATATACTTTGAGAACAAGATACCAGCTCTGTACGAGGGCGATCTGATGAACGAGGACGAGGTCCTTGAATGGCTGGTGGTGCAAAAGAAAACAGCGACCATTGAGGAGGTCACCGATGAGATTCTCGTTAATCTGATCAATGAGCATGAGTATGTTGTTGTATTCTTTACGGGTCCCTGCGAACCGGGCGAGTCCTGTGACCATACACTGAACGCATTGGAAAGCATCGACGATGAGCTAGACGAGGCTGGCATTATATTTGTTACCACTGAGGATACGGGCGTCGCTAAAAAATACAATGTCAAATCTTATCCACGATTGGTGTTCTTCAGAAATCGTGATCCATTGCACTTTACGGGCGATTTGGATGACGAGGACGAGGTCTTGGCTTGGATCACCGATGACGAAACCCTCGAGATTCCCGGAAAAATCGAGGAGGTCAATGTGAAAATGTTGGATAAAATTTTGGCAGAAAACGATCATGTTGTCGTGTTCTTCTGTAAGTACTTCAAATCATATTAGAAACCATAATATTCAAGTTTTCTATCGTTTTCAACAGACGCCGAGGGGGATAAGAAGGCACAGAAGATCCTCAACGAATTGGAGAACATCGACGACGAATGCGAGGAAAAAGACATCGACTTTGTAAAGACATCCGATGACGATATTGATAAGGAATACGATCTGCCCGGTTTGCCGGCGCTTGCATTTTATAGACATAAGTTTAGAACAATTTACACCGGTAAATCAACAAATATAATATCATATGAGCTCGTAAATAAACAAAATTGGATTCTTTTTTACAGGTGATCTGATGAAGGAAGAGGAAATTCTGGAATGGGTTATCGATTTGCATGAATCGACTGCTGATGTTATCGAATCGGTCGATCGCAAAACGCTGCAAGTGTTGATCAACGACGTTGAGCATCTCGCTGTTTTCTTCTGTGCGTTCGAAAAGCGACAATATTGTAAGCAAATAGAGTTTAACAATGCCTTTTCATGCCATCCACAGACGATGATGAGTGCGAGACATGCCCCGGCATCTTGGAAGAGTTGGAGAATATCGATGACGATACCGATAAGCATGGCATACAGTTTGTCAAATCGAATGATGTTAAGCTGGCTCATGAAATTGGCATTTTCGCATTCCCAGCCTTAGTTTACTACGAAACAGGCGTTCCGATCATGTATGATGGTAAGCTGACAGATCTGTAAAACCTTAAATCATATATAATGCTAAATGTAAATTAATATTCTTAAAGGTAATCTCAAAAATGAAAATCGTGTGCTGCAGTGGTTAATCAATCAAAAGAGTAAGCGTTCTTGTTTCAAATGTTTTCTCTGCTTTCTAACTCACGCTCATAAGCCAAACATTCAATATCAAATCAGTTGAGCCCACAATATCTTGGCCAAAATAAAAAAAAAAAAAACAAAAAAAAAATAGAGATTGCATATCAAATCCAAGCAAGTCGGATATATCCAAATATCATTCTACCCGTTTATAGCCGTTTATAAAATGACAAAACGTAATGAATACTTTCGATATATATATGATATATAATAGGCAACGATGACGATGGAAGTGATGAGAAAATTGTTAAATTGAGCTATCCAAAAGAAAGTGATGTGGATAAAAGAGAAAAGCTAAAACGTCTGCAACAAACGATACGAAAAGAAAGATTACGAAAACATTCGCGCAATGACGATGATAATGGCGATGACGATGACGATGATGACGATAATAATAAAGACGACAATGACGACGACGAAGATGATGACGATGACAACGACAACGATGACGACGACGATGATAATGATAACGATAAAGATGATGACAATGACGATGATGATGAGGATGACGACGATAATGGAGACGATGATGAAGACGAGGACGAAGACGATGACGATAACGAAAATGATGACGATAACGATGATGAAAATGATGAAGATAACGATAATGACAATGACAATGACGAGGACGACGATGAAAACGATGAAGACAATGACGATGAAGATGAGGACGAAAATGATGATGATGAAGACAATGATGAAGATGAGGATGAAAATGGTGACGATGACGAAGACGACGATGAGAACGACAACGACAACGATAAAGATAATGACGATGACGAAGACGATGAAGACAACGACGACGAAGACGAAGAGGACGAGGATGAGGATGAGGATGAAAACGATGATGAAGACGACGACATAAAAAACGACAAAGATGATGACGATGAAGACGATGACGAAAATGACAAAGATAACGACAATGATGACGACGATAACGATAACGACGACGATGACAATGACGATAACGATAACGATGACGATAACGATGACGATAACGATGACGACGAAGAAGAAGACATCAGCAAGCAAATATATAAGCACAGAGCTAAAGGCAGAACGATACATCGACTTTCTGATCTATGCTCGGGTGATCTTATAGATGAAATAGGTAATACGTGAATGTGAGTTGCCATTGCCGCACTAACTGAAGTTGTTTATTGTTGTGACCTACTCCCTGACCCGCCGAACACCAAACAAATATTATATATATATATATATATAAAAAATTCAGTCCATACAAAATAACTCACACTACAGTATTTTAATTGTCTATCTACAGACTTGGGTAAAAGGAATTCTAAAAATGCATTTCATAAAGGTAACAAAAGCAATTTATCGCGATATATCTAAATGTGTTGCGCATAGCTTTTGTGCTAAAGTAATTCATCTACACCCACAAAACCGAAAAAATATAAATAAATTGGAGATACACACACACACACACAGAGACACACACACTAAAAGCCACGTCAATGTTTGCCCTCGTGAATGTATTAAGACCTATCCAATGCTTCGATTTACCCACAATATTGTATGAAGAACCCAATCCTATAACTTCTCTAAAAAAAAAAGTGAACAAATTTGGTAAAAAACAAAATAATAAAATAATGCAAAAATCATAGCTGACACAATGTTTGAAAATTTATCAACAAAAAAAAAAATCAATTATACTTTTTTATATTATGAAAAGTTCTTTTATTTAACTGTTCAAAAAAAATATTATAAACAAGAAATTGTTAATAACTTGATTATTTCGATTATTGATATAATTATTGTTCTTTTAATACTTAAGCAAACGTTTTTATTTGTTAATTTATAATTAATGACGAACCCACTCTGCTAAATAATTATATATACAACCAAAACCAGAGGCGTCTTTGTGCAACGTGATAAAGTAAAAACCAAATATATAAATAGTATATAAAATGAAAAAAAAAAAAATAAGTACAACGATCCAAACATTGAAATCTAGTACAAAAACTGAATTAGGACTTAATACCTGTACAGTCAGCATCAAAAGCATTTTGTCAGTTATTAGTTGAATAGCAAAATTAATGTGAAAAAAAAGAAACGATTTGAAAAAATGTTGTTCATTCATAAAGCACGCTTTTTTTACTCTAGAAAGAAATCAATCTATCAAACTATCTATGAAGAAAATATTATGAAAATCATACTAACTGCTCTTTGTGGTAATTTCGAAGGTGTTGAAAAATAAAAGCAACTTTTACGACTTTTATTACGTAATTTCTCGCCTACTCTTTATGCACTTTTGTTTACTTTTTGATTATCTCGTAATAAATTTTCTTGTTAGTGATTTCTTTTAATTAAAAAACCAAAAAAAAAAAAAAATACCAAAACAATATAAAAATAAAAACAAAAAAAAAAAATTAAGAACTAAAACAATCTGACAAAATGTTTTTGTTTGTTTGCTCACACAGATGACGAATGTTTCTATGTTGGATTGGGTCACGACGGCCATTCAGCTAAGCGCGGCAACAGTTATGTGCCCAACGATTACAAACCATTCCAATGCTGTCCAACCAAATTGGAGAGGTCAACCAAAGTTCCTAAAATGACGGCCCAGCGCATCGGACATAGCGATGGTGAATCCAGCAAGCGTCAGGGCGGCAACTTTAAATTTGCTTCCGCATCGAGCACTCCAACTAAATCCACCGCCAAGCCCCTCGCCCAAAAGAAGCAGTCCAAGCGCAACGATGATGATGACGACGACGACGACGATGATGATGATAATGTGCCACTGGTGAAGGTGTCGTATGCGAACAAGCGAGCCGGCCAAACGTCCAAGAAACCCCTGACCAAACTGCAGCAGCAGGAGGAGGATGAGTCCGTTGAGCTGGAGAAGACCAAGAAATCGTCCAAGAAGTCGGGCAATAAGCTGAACGTTAAAACCGGTACGTCGCGTTCCACCCCAAAATATTAAAAACTAAAAGTACCCAAACATAAATCATATTTTTTTTTTATTATTATTATTATTATATTTTGTCAAAATTGTAAGACACAAACCATATATACAGATTCAGTTCAGTTTTTAATCACAAGTATTTGTTGTTGTGCACACCCACCCATACACACACACACTCAAAAAAAAACAGACATATCTGGTTGTAATTTGATTTGTATATTTCTCTCTCTTTTTTCTCTTTTTTTTTTTGTGTCTTGCAGGCATTAATTTTTTCCAAAATCGACTAAAAAATTTGTATGACCTCATTTTTCAGGATATCTCTCTGTGGGAGTAAGGCAACAATTTTAAAACTGAATGTTAAATATATAGAAAACAAAAGCAATTCGAATGATTGTATGATTCAGTGATATGCAATAATTAAAGTAGCACGTATACGCACTGTTGTCATGTTGCCAAAAACCAAATGCAAATAAGTTAAACAAAAACTAAGAACAACAACAACAACAACAAAAACAGCAACAAAGCAAAGCACGCATAAATCTAAGATCTAAGAACTCTCTGCTGTAAAAAACCTTGAACAACGGGTTACTATCTATAATTAATTATCATTAATTATATACTTATATGAACTATAAAGTGTAATGTGTGATTTTGTTTGTGATTGTCATTATCATAATTTGTAAGTGCAACATGCATCCCAAAAGACAACAACAACTTAACTCAGCAGGTTGTGTAAATGAATACTAAAAACAAAAGCCTTAGGCTACACTGCCCAACAGAAATGAGTTTATTTTTTGGCGGCCAAATGCGTTACTTTAATATTAAATATTACTTAAACGACACCCGATCAAATGAAAATGTTTAAAGCGAATTTCTTGGAAAAACCCAAAACTAAAACGCAAAACTGTTTGAAAGAAAAACGAACTGTTACTCTTTGTTCCACACGTAACTGCAGCGGTTAGAGCAGGTTATATGCCAACTGGCCAGCCTTATTGTCAATTAACAATAACAACAATAACGTTGGCCACGCAACTCAAAACTACAATTAACTAATTCACTTAACGTATCTTTTGGTACTTTTGCACTTTTGACTTTTTTCCTGTCGAGGCTGCCTGTCTGTTAAAAAACTGAAACTAAAACTACAACTAAAAACTAAACTAAAAACTAAATTTGTTGCATTTTGTCAATGGATTTCAATTGCGCCAACAAAACTTTGTTCAAATTTAAAGCAATTACTGCAACAACAAAACTTACTATTAACACACACACACACACACACACGCACACACTCGAATATATAACCAACTTTTCAGAATTTCAGGTATATATTTAGCTAAAAGTAAATAAAAACAATTCGTAATTAACAATACATAAAAACCAACATGAAAAATTGTCAATAACTGAGCATAAACTTTTTGATACTACTTACTACTTTTATTTTGTTACAATATACAATTTACATTTATGTATGTAGCTAGTATAAACACAAAACAAATAAATATTTTTTAAACAATTTTACAATGAGAGAGAAGCGCAAACTACAATACAACTAAACTATTTACATAGCTAACTGTAAAGAGCCAAGCATATTTCATATAAATCATAACTAAACTTATATTCTTTGTTGTTGTGGCAATTAAAACACAAGCAAGCGCTGATTTGAAAGCTTTAAAAACTAAAAAAAATACTCGCTTATATTCATCATACAGTTCGTATACTTAATATTACGAATGGCTGTCAAATCTTTCGCTAGATTTGCAACACTGGCCTCGCAAAATGCTCGCCATACTGTTTTTTCTCTTTCTTTTCTCTTCTCTCTCTTTTCTGAGTGCCAGTTCGGCTCGGCTCGGCTCGGCTAACTGTTAGCGATTTGTTATCGATATTTGCAAAATATCGAATTCTAATTTTATTTTCCTTAGCTTATCTTATAAGCCTTTTGTCACTGAGAGTCACATTTCTTTTGTAAGAATTTTTAAAATATTTGTTGTTGAACAGCAGCTGTAAAGATAAAACAAAAAAAAAGAAAAAATGAAGGAAAATAAAAGAAAAACTCAAGCAAAATGTATTTTGTTAAAGTTTTTATTAACTCTTTTTAAATGAACTATTTATACATTATGTAATTAATTAATGGAATAAACAAGAACATTTTTTGTAAAACTGTAAAGCGAAAAGCAAAAAAATTGTAAATTTCATACGAAGAAACAAAATCAAAATTAGGTTCTTTTTATATACTTAAGCGTTCGCACAAATACAAAAAAAAAAAAAAAGATAATTATGTTTTGGTTGTTTTTTGTTGAAAGCATTAAAAATGATTTCATTACACACAAGCGGTTCTTATTCTCAGCTATATAAACAGATTTGTCGCAATTTATGTACAACCATAAAAGATTTTTGCATTATTTTTGAACACAATTTATTCACATTGTCAGCCAAATGTTTGCAATTAATTAACGCGGTCTCCAGAGCCAAAATTATTGGCCCAATGCCCAATGTTATTGGGCCAAAGCCAAAAGCGGCAACAAAAACAATATACATATATTTAAACTGAGAACGAAAGTTATAAATTTTGTTTATAAAATGAAAAGCAAAAAAAAAAACAACTCTTGATTGATTGACAAACTGCAGCCAACAGGTATGTTCAAAACTGGAACCAAAACAAAATATAAGAAAAAAACTTTTTTATAAAGAAATCACATTAACATAAATCATTAAATTTGATATGCAGGTAATTTGGAGAGTAACCAAGAGGTCTTCAATTGGATACTGGAGCAGAAGGCCGATCAAAGCATTGAGCTTATTAATCGAGAACAACTAATTGAATATATAGGCACGAAAGACTTTTTAGCGGTTGTCTTCTGTAAGTATGCGCCACATTAAGGTATTCTAAGCATAAAGATCTAAAAACCGAAAATAAATAAAATGCATATATAGATATATGTACTTATGAAAGTATGAATTTGCGCGCCCACTAAAAACTGTAACTGCCCAACAGAAAGCTAAAGAAAACTATTTTCATTTGAATTTATCAACAAAGTGTATTTGCATTTGAATTATTTACAGACAAAGAGGATGATCCGGACTCTCCGCGCGTCCTGCGACACATTGAACTTATCGACGATGAGGCTGCCGAATATGGCATTTATATAGTCAAAATGCATGACAAGCTGATGGCCAAGAAATATGGCTATAGAAATCCGCCCGGCCTGACCTATTTCCGCAAAGGCAAATACATCAACTACGATGGCGACATCGACGACGAGGAGGAGGTGCTCGACTGGCTAACGAGTCCGGCCAATATGGAAATGACCGATCACATTGAGCAGGTCAATCGCAAGATGTTCGAGAAAATACGCAAGAATTCCGACTATGTGGCGGTCATATTCTGTAAGTACCCGATTTTATGTTGAAGTAGAGTATATGCCAATTCGTATTGTATCCAACAGACAGCGAGGAGTGCAAGCAGTGTCCACGCGTCCTGGCTGAGGTGGAGCACATCGATGATGATGCGGACAAGGCAGGCATTGATTTTGTCAAGATCGATGACAAGCAAATGGCCAAGGAATACGGCGTCTTCGCGCTGCCCGCCATCGTCTTCTTTAAGCCCACATCCAAGGAGCCAGTTATATACGCCGGTTGGTATCCGAAGCACATTAATTGGGCCAGTTTTGGCATTTATTTTTGGCATTCTGCACGCAGGTGATCTTTATGAAGAAGAACAGATCCTATCTTGGTTGCTTACGCAAAAGGATCCAAGTGGAGATGTTATCGAAGATCTCGAAGGCGAACGACTCGTTCAGTTAATCGAAGAGTCTGGCTCCATAGCTGTGTACTTCTGTAAGTTCATAATAACCAAAACGTGCGATATATTTAACAAATAATATGATTAAAAAAAAAGTTAAATTTGTTAAGTTTATCCAGCGTTTAACAGCTGCAATCGGTTTGGTGACATAAACTTATATTGAGTACAAATTGTGTTTCTATAGCATACTTTCCGGCGCCTAAATGTTGTGTCAGTCTCTCATTGCCAAACCTCTTGTTACATTATTTGTAGAGTATTCAAGTGCTCGATATAATTTATGCTCACTCTTTTGCGCAAACAGTTTGCAGTACATCATTTCGTTTAAGCAGGTCTTATATTCATAACATTTTAACTATAATTTAATCTTAAGCTATATTTTTATCAGCGCTCAAATGTATCTAACCAACAAGACTTTTTACCACATTTATATTTCTATTTAAAAAAAATATTTAAACCAAAAAAAAAACGCCACAAATTGCACCAAACGACAAAAAAAAATAATAATAATCACGTAGGGAACAAGACCAAGTGCGATATTTGCAATTCGAAAGCCATGCGCAAGGCGCGCCTGAAAAAGGAGCGCGAACAGCATCAACAGGATGGCGGCACCGCCAGTGCAGCGGCCGCCTTTGGCAGCGATCCTGAGGCAGGTGGTGGCGGCGGCGGTGGTGCTGCTGCTGGTGGCGAAGGCACCGAAGGTGCCGAGGGTGGCGAGGGTGGAGCAACGGAGGCCAGCGCTGGCAAACAAGAAGATGGTAGCGCAAATACGTGACAAATTTAATAAATTTTGTATAGCCAACACAAATGGAATGAGTCCAAGAATGTTTAACCACACACACACACACGCACACACACACACACCCACACACGCACCCAAGTATAAATATGTGTACATACACCTTTGAGAATGTCTTACCCGATATTTTGCTGTAGCGCACCTGAAATACAACTTGAGTCAATCCCAATCCAAGCACACCGAACTCGCCAATACACTATCTCTCTCTCTCTCTCTTTCTTTCTTTCTCTTTATATATCTCTATATATATACATATATGTCTGTTGTGCTCTAGCTGTACTACCTTCTATGTTTTATGTATACTTTGCTGCTTTTTCTCTCTAAACACAAGTTTTCCACTTCTGTTACCCATTTTGTGCTTAGTTTATGTGTAGTGCTTGCTCGTAGTATGTTCTATTGCCACACCCCACGCCCGCCCGCCTTTGTCTAGTGTGCACTCTTTGTTATAATATGCATATTCCCGTTTTCCACAATCAATCAAAAAACTCTCCCAGATGCCGATGGCTGTGAGCAGTGCACCAAGGTGCTGGAGGAACTGGAGAATATTGACGACGATTGCGACAAACATGGCATCACATTTGTCAAAACACGCGACTTCTCTGTAGCCGACGGTTATGGTGTCCACGAGTATCCGGCTCTGGTCTACTTTGAAGGCGGCATACCCAATGTTTTTGAAGGTAAGTTATTAAGCAAGTAAATGTGTGCTCGACTTGAAAATACCCAGTTACGAGCTGCAGACCAACATATTAGCTTACTAATCTCCATATATTAAACTGTTTGTCTCGATTGACTGACTAAATGACAGACTATGGACACGGGTAACAATTTCCCAACTTGCATATATCGGTCAAATGTCATCTTTTTGTTCATGGTTTTCCCTCAAGATTAATCCTGCATTCAAATCTGAATGCGTTTTTTTATTCGAAATTCATGCCGAGATCTTTCCGAAAGATTTGTATATGTCTAAATTTTCCAGCCCTACAACTGGGTCAAAACTGATCCGACTTTTACGAAGTTTGGCTTTTTGTTCATAGTTTTCCCTCTAGATTAATCCGGCATACAAATATGAATACATATTTTTTGGTCGAAATTCATGTCAAAATCTTACCCCAAGTTTCGTGTATACACATGGCCCAAAATTTCCCACCCCCATAACTGGGTCAAATCACATCAGATTTTGACGAGGTTTGGATTTTTGTCCATGGTTCGCCCTCTAGATCAATCTGGCATTTAAATCTGCACACATATTTTTTGGTCGAAATTCATGTCAAAATCTTACCCCAAGTTTCGTGTATAGACATGGGCCAAAATTTCCAACCCCCATAACTGGGCCAAATCTTATCAGATTTTCATGTGGTTTGGATTTTTGTCCATGGTTCGCCCCCTAGATCAATGTGGCATTCAAATCTGGATACATATTTTTTTGTCGAAATCCATGTCAAAATCTTACCCCAGGTTTCGTGAATAGACATGGCCCAAAATTTCCCACCCCCATAACTGGGCCAAATCTTATCAGATTTTTACGAAGTTTAACTTTTTGTTCATAGTTTTCCCTCTAGATCAATCTGGCATTCAAATCTGAACACATATTTTTTGGTCGAAATTCATGTCAAAATCTTACCCCAAGTTTCGTGTATACACATGACCCAAAATTTCCCACCCCCATAACTGGGTCAAATCACATCAGATTTTGACGAGGTTTGGATTTTTGTCCATGGTTCGCCCTCTAGATCAATCTGGCATTCAAATCTGCACACATATTTTTTGGTCGAAATTCATGTCAAAATCTTACTCCAATTTTCATATATAGACATGGGCCAAAATTTCCAGCCCCCATAACTGGGCTAAATCTTATCAGATTTTCACGAGGTTTGGATTTTTGTTCATGGTTCGACCTCTAGATCAATCTGGCATTCAAATCTGGATACTTATTTTTTGGTCGAAATTCATGTCAAAATCTTACCCCAAGTTTCGTGTATAGACATGGTCCAAATTTTCCCACCCCCATAACTGGGCCAAATCTAATCAGATTTTCACGAGGCTTGGATTTTTGTTGATGGTTCGACCTCTAGATCAATCTGGCATTCAAATCTGGATATATATTTTTTGGTCGAAATTCATGTCAAAATCTTACCCCAAGTTTCGTGTATAGACATGGTCCAAATTTTTCCACCCCCATAACTGGGCCAAATCTTATCAGATTTTCATGAGGTTTGGATTTTTGTCCATGGTTCAACCTCTAGATCAATCTGGCATTCAAATCTGGATACATATTTTTTGGTCGAAATTCATGTCAAAATCTTACCCCAAGTTTCGTGTATAGACATGGTCCAAATTTTCCCACCCCCATAACTGGGCCAAATCTTATCAGATTTTCATGAGGTTTGGATTTTTGTCCATGGTTCAACCTCTAGATCAATCTGGCATTCAAATCTGGATACATATTTTTTGGTCGAAATTCATGTCAAAATCTTACCCCAAGTTTCGTGTATAGACATGGGCCAAATTTTCCCACCCCCATAACTGGGCCAAATCTAATCAGATTTTCACGAGGCTTGGATTTTTGTTGATGGTTCGACCTCTAGATCAATCTGGCATTCAAATCTGGATACATACTTTTTGGTCGAAATTCATGTCAGAATCTTACCCCAAGTTTCGTGTATAGACATGGGCCAAATTTTCCCACCCCCATAACTGGGCCAAATCTAATCAGATTTTCACGAGAATTGGATTTTTGTTGACGGTTCGACCTCTAGATCAATCTGGCATTTAAATCTGGATACATGTTTTTTGGTCGAAATTCATGTCAAAATCTTACCCCAAGTTTCATATATAGACATGGGCCAAAATTTCCAGCCCCCATAACTGGGCTAAATCTTATCAGATTTTCACGAGGTTTGGATTTTTGTTCATGGTTCGACCTCTAGATCAATCTGGCATTCAAATCTGGATACTTATTTTTTGGTCGAAATTCATGTCAAAATCTTACCCCAAGTTTCGTGTATAGACATGGTCCAAATTTTCCCACCCCCATAACTGGGCCAAATCTAATCAGATTTTCACGAGGCTTGGATTTTTGTTGATGGTTCGACCTCTAGATCAATCTGGCATTCAAATCTGGATATATATTTTTTGGTCGAAATTCATGTCAAAATCTTACCCCAAGTTTCGTGTATACACATGGCCCAAAATTTCCCACCCCCATAACTGGGTCAAATCACATCAGATTTTGACGAGGTTTGGATTTTTGTCCATGGTTCGCCCTCTAGATCAATCTGGCATTTAAATCTGCACACATATTTTTTGGTCGAAATTCATGTCAAAATCTTACCCCAAGTTTCGTGTATAGACATGGGCCAAAATTTCCAACCCCCATAACTGGGCCAAATCTTATCAGATTTTCATGTGGTTTGGATTTTTGTCCATGGTTCGCCCCCTAGATCAATGTGGCATTCAAATCTGGATACATATTTTTTTGTCGAAATCCATGTCAAAATCTTACCCCAAGTTTCGTGTATAGACATGGTCCAAATTTTCCCACCCCCATAACTGGGCCAAATCTAATCAGATTTTCACGAGGCTTGGATTTTTGTTGATGGTTCGACCTCTAGATCAATCTGGCATTCAAATCTGGATATATATTTTTTGGTCGAAATTCATGTCAAAATCTTACCCCAAGTTTCGTGTATACACATGGCCCAAAATTTCCCACCCCCATAACTGGGTCAAATCACATCAGATTTTGACGAGGTTTGGATTTTTGTCCATGGTTCGCCCTCTAGATCAATCTGGCATTTAAATCTGCACACATATTTTTTGGTCGAAATTCATGTCAAAATCTTACCCCAAGTTTCGTGTATAGACATGGGCCAAAATTTCCAACCCCCATAACTGGGCCAAATCTTATCAGATTTTCATGTGGTTTGGATTTTTGTCCATGGTTCGCCCCCTAGATCAATGTGGCATTTAAATCTGCACACATATTTTTTGGTCGAAATTCATGTCAAAATCTTACCCCAAGTTTCGTGTATACACATGACCCAAAATTTCCCACCCCCATAACTGGGTCAAATCACATCAGATTTTGACGAGGTTTGGATTTTTGTCCATGGTTCGCCCTCTAGATCAATCTGGCATTCAAATCTGCACACATATTTTTTGGTCGAAATTCATGTCAAAATCTTACTCCAATTTTCATATATAGACATATGCCAAAATTTCCCACCCCATAACTGGGCCAAATCTTATCAGATTTTCACGAGGTTTGGATTTTTGTTGATGGTTCGACCTCTAGATCAATCTGGCATTCAAATCTGGATACATATTTTTTGGTCGAAATTCATGTCAAAATCTTACCCCAAGTTTCGTGTATAGACATGGTCCAAATTTTTCCACCCCCATAACTGGGCCAAATCTTATCAGATTTTCATGAGGTTTGGATTTTTGTCCATGGTTCAACCTCTAGATCAATCTGGCATTCAAATCTGGATACATATTTTTTGGTCGAAATTCATGTCAAAATCTTACCCCAAGTTTCGTGTATAGACATGGGCCAAATTTTCCCACCCCCATAACTGGGCCAAATCTAATCAGATCTTCACGAGGCTTGGATTTTTGTTGATGGTTCGACCTCTAGATCAATCTGGCATTCAAATCTGGATACATACTTTTTGGTCGAAATTCATGTCAGAATCTTACCCCAAGTTTCGTGTATAGACATGGGCCAAATTTTCCCACCCCCATAACTGGGCCAAATCTAATCAGATTTTCACGAGGCTTGGATTTTTGTTGACGGTTCGACCTCTAGATCAATCTGGCATTTAAATCTGGATACATGTTTTTTGGTCGAAATTCATGTCAAAATCTTACCCCAAGTTTCATATATAGACATGGGCCAAAATTTCCAGCCCCCATAACTGGGCTAAATCTTATCAGATTTTCACGAGGTTTGGATTTTTGTTCATGGTTCGACCTCTAGATCAATCTGGCATTCAAATCTGGATACTTATTTTTTGGTCGAAATTCATGTCAAAATCTTACCCCAAGTTTCGTGTATAGACATGGTCCAAATTTTCCCACCCCCATAACTGGGTCAAATCACATCAGATTTTGACGAGGTTTGGATTTTTGTCCATGGTTCGCCCTCTAGATCAATCTGGCATTCAAATCTGCACACATATTTTTTGGTCGAAATTCATGTCAAAATCTTACTCCAATTTTCATATATAGACATATGCCAAAATTTCCCACCCCATAACTGGGCCAAATCTTATCAGATTTTCACGAGGTTTGGATTTTTGTTGATGGTTCGACCTCTAGATCAATCTGGCATTCAAATCTGGATACATATTTTTTGGTCGAAATTCATGTCAAAATCTTACCCCAAGTTTCGTGTATAGACATGGTCCAAATTTTTCCACCCCCATAACTGGGCCAAATCTTATCAGATTTTCATGAGGTTTGGATTTTTGTCCATGGTTCAACCTCTAGATCAATCTGGCATTCAAATCTGGATACATATTTTTTGGTCGAAATTCATGTCAAAATCTTACCCCAAGTTTCGTGTATAGACATGGGCCAAATTTTCCCACCCCCATAACTGGGCCAAATCTAATCAGATTTTCACGAGGCTTGGATTTTTGTTGATGGTTCGACCTCTAGATCAATCTGGCATTCAAATCTGGATACATACTTTTTGGTCGAAATTCATGTCAGAATCTTACCCCAAGTTTCGTGTATAGACATGGGCCAAATTTTCCCACCCCCATAACTGGGCCAAATCTAATCAGATTTTCACGAGGCTTGGATTTTTGTTGACGGTTCGACCTCTAGATCAATCTGGCATTTAAATCTGGATACATGTTTTTTGGTCGAAATTCATGTCAAAATCTTACCCCAAGTTTCATATATAGACATGGGCCAAAATTTCCAGCCCCCATAACTGGGCTAAATCTTATCAGATTTTCACGAGGTTTGGATTTTTGTTCATGGTTCGACCTCTAGATCAATCTGGCATTCAAATCTGGATACTTATTTTTTGGTCGAAATTCATGTCAAAATCTTACCCCAAGTTTCGTGTATAGACATGGTCCAAATTTTCCCACCCCCATAACTGGGCCAAATCTTATCAGATTTTCATGAGGTTTGGATTTTTGTCCATGGTTCAACCTCTAGATCAATCTGGCATTCAAATCTGGATACATATTTTTTGGTCGAAATTCATGTCAAAATCTTACCCCAAGTTTCGTGTATAGACATGGGCAAAATTTTCCCACCCCCATAACTGGGCCAAATCTAATCAGATTTTCACGAGGCTTGGATTTTTGTTGATGGTTCGACCTCTAGATCAATCTGGCATTCAAATCTGGATATATATTTTTTGGTCGAAATTCATGTCAAAATCTTACCCCAAGTTTCGTGTATAGACATGGGCCAAAATTTCCAACCCCCATAACTGGGCTTAATCTTATCAGATTTTCACGAGGTTTGGATTTTTGTTCATGGTTCGACCTCTAGATCAATCTGGCATTCAAATCTGGATACTTATTTTTTGGTCGAAATTCATGTCAAAATCTTACCCCAAGTTTCGTGTATAGACATGGTCCAAATTTTCCCACCCCCATAACTGGGCCAAATCCTATCAGATTTTCATGAGGTTTGGATTTTTGTCCATGGTTCAACCTCTAGATCAATCTGGCATTCAAATCTGGATACATATTTTTTGGTCGAAATTCATGTCAAAATCTTACCCCAAGTTTCGGGTATAGACATGGGCCAAATTTTCCCACCCCCATAACTGGGCCAAATCTAATCAGATTTTGACGAGGTTTGGATTTTTGTCCATGGTTCGCCCTCTAGATCAATCTGGCATTTAAATCTGGATACATATTTTTTGGTCGAAATTCATGTCAAAATCTTACCCCAAGTTTCATATATAGACATGGGCCAAAATTTCCAGCCCCCATAACTGGGCTAAATCTTATCAGATTTTCACGAGGTTTGGATTTTTGTTCATGGTTCGACCTCTAGATCAATCTGGCATTCAAATCTGGATATATATTTTTTGGTCGAAATTCATGTCAAAATCTTACCCCAAGTTTCGTGTATAGACATGGTCCAAATTTTCCCACCCCCATAACTGGGCCAAATCTTATCAGATTTTCATGAGGTTTGGATTTTTGTCCATGGTTCAACCTCTAGATCAATCTGGCATTTAAATCTGGATACATATTTTTTGGTCGAACTTCATGTCAAAATCTTACCCCAAGTTCGTGTATAGACATGGGCCAACATTTCCAACCCCCATAACTGGGCCAAATCTCATAAGATTTTCATGATGTTTGGTTTTTTATTCATGGTTTTGCCTCTAGATTAATCTGTCATTCAGATTGCTTTTTGCTCATGATTTGCCCTCTCGGTTGATTAGGAATAGTTCCACACAGTCTAAAATCTTATTTTTCTACTGCTAGGTGAGCTCAGCGAGGAGGAGGAAGTACTTCAGTGGTTAATCACACAAAAGACGGAGGATCGCATTGAGCTAATCACACGTCAGATGCTGGAAACCATGGTCGAGGAAACCCAATATCTGGCCGTCTACTTCTGTAAGTTGTACAAAATTAGATTACACAAAAGAAAAAGAACGAGAAAACAACTTTTCATATTGTCACACAATATCAATTATATACCTCGGCAACTCCAATACCACCGCACCGCACCACACAAACATCAAACTCTCTGCACCACAACACCTACCACAAACAATCCGAAAATATAAAATATACAAAAAAAAATAAAAACCGATATCCCAAAATCCGAAACGCCTCAGTGCCGACTGAGCGCAAGGGCAAGCCACCCGCTTACTGTCGAAGTTTCTGCTCACCCTCTAGTCTTAAAGAAAGCAACCTGACCGCCAACGCCAAACACTCATCCAGCCAATTCGTACAAAGCTACATTTCACGTAAAAGAAAACGTATCCAAAAACAAGGTATTCCGTATTCCTTCTGTCTACAAATCGCAACAGCCAACAAAATAAATATCGATCGCATGTTTTTCGAGCTCCTAACAAAGATAAACATTTCTGCCTAAAAAAACGACAAAAACTGTTCTCTTATACAGCTCTTATACAACTCTTAAGCAACTCCTATGTAACTCTTATACAACTCCTTTGTAACTCTTATACAGCTCTTATAAGACTCTTATACATCTTTTATATCACTCTTATACAACTCTTATACTAAACACGGCTTTTAATCGTATTACCGACCAAACTAAATGCCCCGCCTACTTGACCAGGGTCTAATGCTTAAAATGTTGTCCAAAATGTTGCGAATTTGTTGTAACAAAACAAAAATTAAATTTTAACAAGTAAATAATTAAAAAAGAATTTAGTTTGGGCGCGAATACCTTTTGTTTTGGCGTTTTCTTCCTATCCACTAGCTGCATCGCCTCTATATACTTATAACTTATCTAACTTATCTGCTACGCAGTCTACGCTTCACATTCGTATAAAATACACACCATAAATTTATTAGCTAAAGTATATTCTAATGATAATTTACTTCGTTTATGACCAGACAAAATCAATTGCAATATCTGTGATCAGATATTGGAGGGTCTGGAGCTGATTGACGATGAATGCGATGTCTTTGGCATACACATGGTCAAAATACAAGATCCGCAACTGGCGAAACGTTATTCTATCAAGACCTTCCCGGCCTTGGTCTACTTCCGGTAGGTTTTTGTACCTGAATATTACAGAGTATAAAAGTCATTCTTGGATTATGTAACCCACACAGCAATGGCAATCCCCTGCTCTTTGAGGGCGATCTACAGAACGAACAGTCCGTCCTTGAGTGGTTGATAGACGATGACAATCGGGAGCTGGCCGATGAGATTGAGGAGGTGAATGAGCGCATGTTGGATCGCCTCATGGCCGAGTCTACTTTGCTGGTCGTATTCTTCTGTAAGCAGACAATCCTACTATACACTAAATTTTGGGATACTAAAATATTTCAATTTAGACGACGATGATTGTGCCGAGTGCGAGGAGATACTTGAGGAGCTCGAGGAAATTGATGGCGAGGCTGACATGTTTGGCATTGATTTTGTTAAGATTGCCAGCGTGGAGGCGGCCAAAAAGTATGAAGTTGTCAATATACCCTCGCTGGTGTATTTCCGGTAAGTTGAATCGCAATAAATGATATTTTTGTTTGATAGCAAAAACCAAATGTATTGTAGAAGGTATTTAAAAGTACCTTTTCCAATAATTTAGTGTTCTACATCATATAAAAAATAGTTTCGAATATGTGAATATAAATATTAAATTTAAAATTTAAAATTTCAAAGTCTATGGTAGTTAAGTAATATGATTTTATTATAATCTATGAAATAATATTTGTTTAATATTTTTAGAAAACAAGTGCCTGTGCTTTATGATGGCGATATGCATCAGCATGACAAGGTTATTACCTGGCTAACATCACAGGATGTATTCGAAATTAAAAACGAAATCGAAGAGGTTAATCGTAAAATGCTGGACAAGCTGCTCGAGGAAAACGAATTTATATCTGTGTTCTTTTGTAAGTACAGGGCATATAAAAATAATATCTGTATATAATTTATTTAAATTTCCATTGTATATATCTTTAATGTCTGGCAGATGAGCACAATCAGCCGGACAGCATTGCGTCTTTGGAGAAACTGGAGAACATTGACAGCGAAACGGATAATCTGGACATAACATTTGTTAAAATGGCCGATTCGCGTTATGCCAAAAAATGGGGCGTTACCAAGCTGCCAGCCATGGTCTATTTCCGGCGCCGTTTTCCCAGCATATACAGAGGCAGGTTTTCATTAGTATCTGTAGTTTTTAGTTAAATATAAGATATAATAATGTGTGTTCTTCGTTGCACAGGCGATTTGCTCTCGGAGGATGAGGTGCTCGAATGGCTGCGCAAGAATCGCTTCCGCCAGCCGGAACTGAACATATTCATGTACGCCCTGATAGCCCTGGCGCTGGCGTTCGTCATCTATACCGCCTTCTTGCTGCAGTGCTTCAAGCCCGCCCCACCGCCCCCAGTACAGCATCCGAAGCAGTCGTGATGTGGCCCAATTCCGTGGGTCAACTGTGGATGCTGTTGGCAAAATTTTATTGAAGAACATACGATATTGCAACTACTACAAGGGCGTGCCTGCGTGTAGAGAACGAGAGGGAGAGTCAGGGGGAGAGTGAGGAAAAGAGTGAGAGGAAGAGGAAGAGAGCAAATGAAAAACTTAAATAGAAAAACGAAGCGAAACACACAAGCCACTACACACACACACGCACGCACAACACACACACACACACACACATCCAATCATCATCATGAAGCATTACATTAAATAACGAACTATCATCATGGAATCGTCTAAATTAGACGACTTTAAGAAATGACTTTATAACGACAGTGCCGAATATGCTGCTCCCAAGTATTGTGCGACAGACAGAGACACAGAGAGAGAGAGGAAGAGAGAGAGAGAGAGTCCCTGGTGACAGAACATTGCAAATATTACATACTATATCATTTGAATGATAATAATGACAACAACTACAACAACAACAACTGCAAAACAAATCCGTTAATTTTTACAAAATATTTATATACATTTTCCGGCTGCTTACATATATTAAAATATCAATATTTCATATATTTCACTTCACAATTATGTACTTAAACATTTAAATAAATAAAACAATAAATAATTAAAGCAACACTCAAGTCATAGTAATTACTTTTAAAATTATATTTAAATACAATTACAAATACAATTATATAATATAAATGCAAAACATGAATAAAAATTACAGTAAACTATTACGGATAAATAAAAAAAAAAAAACAATAATTCAAATTCTTGAAAAAGTATTTATGTATATTTATTTTTATTAATTTAACTCAAATTGCGTTCCTTTAACAATCATCGAAAGTTATCAGTCTGAAATTTTCGGAGGTAAACAGGGGGCTTTACGGCTTTTATCCACAGGCAAAATGAAATTTCAGCGCGACAGCCCCCGTTGACAGCCTTGAAGCATCGGATGATATTGTTAAATAACTCATGATGCGATAAATAATTAGCTCATGTTGCTATTGGCATTGTAATCTATGTGATATCAATTTTAGCAGGGAGATATCAGTTCTGAGCTATCTATGCCGCAGGCCTTTTTTTCCGCAATTTGAAGTTATCAGTCTGAATTTTCAACAGGCGGTTGGTTACCACGTGAAAGTTACGAAGTCCCCGACTACTTATCTCTGGTGAAATTTCAGGTTGGCAGCCCCCAGACAAAGTTATTATTTACCGAACTACAGTGACAATACACTAAAACAAATTGTTATTAACAAAATGTAAAAAATAATAAGAAAATATAAAAAAACAACTGTACAACATTTTGGATTTTAATATAAATATCAAAAATTATAAATATATATAGACATAAAAACTACAAAGTGAAAAATTCTTAAGAAGATTTTTTTAGGGTCATAGACTAAGCGTCGGACTAAACGTCGGACTCAAGGAAGAGGTCGCCAGTTCAAAGCAAGCAACAATATTTAATTTTAACATTTGTTTATTTAGTTTATTTTTATTTTTCGTTACCTTCTGATACAACTAGTATTATCCAAAGAAAACTCTTATTTATCTTATTAATTTGTGTTTCTACCAATTAATCGCTTACCACCGAGGTTCTACTGTAGTGTCAGCAAATTTTCCGCAGACTTTTTCAAGTTTTCGGCTTTAAGCAATGCTTAAGAGCTTTAGGATATAAGTCAAGTACTTAAAGAATAATTGCCTGATATCTGTAACCAGATATGCGTTAGTTGAAAGGCATTTATAAAGTATATGCTGGTTGACAATTTCCAATTGGAGTCCATTTCTATTGCAGCTGGCGCCATGAACGATCACAATTTGCTGGTGGCCAAAATTGTGGTTATTGTGGTCCTGCTGCTGGTCACATTAATCTTCTGCTTCATACCCTATGTGCTCGATCGCTGGTTCAAGTGGACGCAACGCACGCAGAGCAATGCTCGGGATTTCCTGGCTGTCCTCTGCCTGCTCAACTTTGGCGGCGGCGTCCTAATTGCCACCACATTCATTCACATGCTGCCGGCTGTGCTCGGCGTGGTGAGTGCCCTGCAACAATGCCACATGCTAGCGGCGACGCCCTTTGCTTTGGCCGAGATGCTGATGTGCACCGGTTTCTTTCTGATGTACGCCATCGAGGAGCTGATGTACTTCTTTGTGGGGCGACGACAACGGCGAAAACAGAAGGCCATGCAGCAGGCGCTGGAAGATGCACCCGAACGGGACTCAAAGCAGGAGCAACTCGAGCCGGAGCAGCCCAATTGGCTGCGTGGCCTGGGCATTATCGTGGCACTGTCGTTGCACGAACTCTTTGGCGGCATGGCCATTGGCCTGGAGGAAAGCGTGGATACGGTTTGGTTTATGTGCGGTGCGATTGCGGCTCACAAGCTAGTCCTAGCCTTTTGCATAGGCATGGAGATTATGATGGCCCACACACGCTGGCTAATTGCTGTCATTTACCTGGTCGTCTTCTCCATTGTCACGCCCATTGGCGTGGGCGTCGGCATTGCAGTCAGCGAGGGCTCGAGCGCAAATCAGCCAAGCATTCCGGCGGGTATATTGCAGGGCATTGCCTGTGGCACGCTGCTCTATGTCGTCTACTTTGAAATTGTGGCCAAGAATCACGCTGGCTGGCGAATATTTCTATGCTCCTTGGGCGGCTTTCTGCTCATGTTTGGCTTGCAAATTGCAGGTGAGTGAAAGAGTGAATAATTGGCTACTTAACCTGAGCTTTGCTCTTTTGCAGTCGTCGAAGCTGCGGGAAAATCCGCATACGAATGCCCTTCTATTGGAGGAACAATTAATAAAAAATAATAAGTTTGAGACGCATGCAGCAGTTACTTAAGTTATTTTTCAACACTACGATTCACGAAAAGCTGTTAAATTGAAGCTTCAAAAGCTTTAAGGTTTTGCGCGTAACTAAGCAAAAAGCTTTGAACAGTTAACTCTAATAGTCCAGAGCACAGCGTTAAAAATTGTTAAAAGAGCTTTAAACAGCTTTACAATCACATACAAGCTTTTAGTATGGAAAGAAGCTTTGATCAGAGAGCTTAGTTATACTTTAAGCTTATATAAAAATCAAATTTCATAGCAAAGATTAAGCGAAATTTTCAATTATTTCTATAAAATACCAAAAAAATGTTGGAAAATCTGTCTCCTGATATAATTTATTTCTGCACACTTAATTCTCTCGGTGTAGCAGATATCTGTGCATAGTCTGGCTTACATAGACTAAAATATATAAAGACCTTCTTATCGGAGCAAATTGAAATTTCGATACCATTTCGAACAATCAAAATCAATGTTACTTAAATTGGCAACAAAGAACCGAACCAGACGGCCGAGCGCTCGGGAAGTCCGCCCCTGTAATCTGTTTCCCAGGCGATCATAATTTCTGCTGTCAATCAGTGCGCACCACAATAGTTTATGGCCACCAGATAGGGGTATAAGTGGTCGCACCGTTGGCAATTCGTTTGCACTTGTTCCTTGCATTCGGTGCTGCCAAGATGTACGGAATACAAACGTCGTCGGAAGTGAATATAGCCCGAGATTCGGCAACGGGAACGGTGGATAAGCATGCGCTGCTGGTGGCCAAAATTGTGGCGATGGTGCTGCTGATTGTGATTACGGTGCTTTGCGGCAGTTTGCCGTACATGCTGGATCGCTGCATGAAGTGGACCAAACAGAAGCCGGAGGAGACGCGCGCCTCGACAGTGGTGCGCTGCCTGATCTACTTTGGCGGCGGCGTATTGATCTGCACCACATTTCTGCACATGCTGCCGGAGGTGATTGAGGTGGTGGAGCTACTGCAGCATTGTGGCATTTTGGAGGCGACGCCTTTTGCCCTGCCCGAGATGCTGCTCTGCACGGGCTTCTTTCTCATGTACGCTCTGGACGAGGTGATGCATTCGTTTATGCGACGTCAACAGCAGCAGCTCAGCCGCAAGGAGTCGCTGGCCAGCGAAGCCTTCGAGCGTGGGCTTAGTATTAGGCACAGTGTGCTGATGCGCAGCACCAGACGCAAACAGGACGCCTTGAAGTCCAGCACACAGGATCCGCTGCCGGAGCACCAGCATCATGATCATGAGTTGCCGCCTCCAGCGCCTGGTCATGGCCACAGTCATATGCCAGTGGACAGCAATGGCTCCTCTATGCGCGGCCTGGGCATTATACTGGCCCTGTCCCTGCACGAGCTCTTCGAGGGCATGGCCATTGGCCTGGAGGGCACGGTGGGCACTGTGTGGTTCATGTTTGGCGCTGTCGCTGCCCACAAACTGGTGCTGGCATTCTGCGTGGGCATGGAGCTGATGGTGGCTCGCACGCGCGCCTCGCTGGCCATTATCTATCTCATAACTTTCTCGATTGTCACGCCCATTGGCATTGGTATTGGCATTGGCATTAGTCAGCAGGCGGATGCGAATCAGCCGAGCGTACCCTCGGGCATACTCCAGGGCATTGCCTCGGGCACGCTGCTCTATGTGGTATTCTTTGAGATTCTCACGCAGAATCATGCGGGCTGGCGAGCATATATAGCCGCTCTGGCGGGCTTTGCTTTAATGTTTGGACTACAAATACTTTGTAAGTGAACTGATAGAAATGAAATGCCGCTATTGGCTTTGATTGACACACTCCTGCCTTTAGTTATCAAGTTAAGATAAGTGATTGATGTCAACTAAGCCATGGGCATTAATAATATTAAGATCTGGCGAAATTTGTTGAATGACTATAACACTCTTTATCTCTTACAGCTGACGAGGCGGAAGGTGCTGATAGTGACTCCTGTTCCTAGCGTGTGCTTGAGCTAATGCATAAATCAATATATGTGAATTATAATTAACGTATCTATAGTTAGCCTTAACAAGCGTAATAAATTGTTAAATAATCGGCATCAGTATATTGCCGGATCATAAACATGCTGAGTATATCAAACAAGCGAATATTGTCAAATTGTGAATAAAGTGCCATAAAACATTTATAAATAGTTTCCAAAATAAATAAACCATGTATTCAATATGATTGCTTTTTAGTAGTTTTCATTCAAATTTGCGCGCGCTTGATTTATTTCATTATTTATAGCCTGTCCATATGTACACACTGCTTGTCATCTGTGAAGCTAACAGAATGTGTGCAGAAACTGTTAACTGTTCTGGGAGCAAAGAACAGTAGAACAGTAGGGTACCCTAAAAATATATATGGGTTTTATAAGTCAATTAATTTATTGAATATAAATAAGAGCATAAAATATTTCATCTGTTCTGTCCAAAATCAACTAGTTTATGTGTAAAGATTGTCCCCTTAAAACCCGTCATATCTACTCCACTGTTTTCATAACAGCGACAAACACTCTCTAAGCGTAAGAGAGTTAACAGTTCACATGAGCCCAACAGCGCGTTAACAGCTACATTTGAGCACAGCAGTGCGCTAACATCGTCTTGCTCATAACAGTTAATAGTTGTGGAAACGAACGGTCGTGTGTACGGATGAAA